CCCCCACATCTCTGGCATTTTGCATAGTTATGTAACGCCTCTTACTCATGGCACCAAAATCACTGTAGTGTCCTTGTAGTGAGGAACTAGTGAAATTTGGAGTAAAATCCAAACCTCCCTTTTGCTCCCTCTTAAAAACCTTTTCATTCATGTTGGAGTTTGCAGTATTTTTTAAAATGAGATTTGCAGATAGCTTGCTCTGTTGGTGGGAACAACAAGGTCACAGCTTTATTTTAAACTTCTTCCTTTTGCATTGCAAAATCCACTGTATAGTCACTGTATAGAAAGAAAATCTGATTAGCTGCTTCAGGAGACTAACATGAGCATCTGCCTTCAGCTTGTCTGTTTCATCCCCTCTTCTCCTGGTCCCCTACCTAATGTTCCCCAAATTCTTAAAAAGAACAGTAGTTGGAAGAGTGGGTGTGCAAAAAAAGTGACAGAAGTAATCTCATCCATAAAACCCGCTAAGCCCGTGGCTTGTGTTTCTTATATCACCTAAATATAAAGCTGCTGTCCTCAGAAAACTGATAATAAAAATCATTTGGGAGGCTCACTCTTCAGTACAGAACATTGTCTGTCCTCAATGCAGTTTCTGGTTGCTCCTTTATGAAAGGTGTCCTTTCTGCTGTGCATAATAGAGGGGGTTCTCTCAGGTTAGGTGGAGCAGCATTAACAACCACGTGCAGAGGCCACAGAGCCTTGTCATCAGGCAGCTGCACTGGGGAATGGTCACAAGAGAACTATCCAAGTATTTCTGTATCAGAGAGGCTATTTTTCCTGGCTAATTGAAAGGTAGGGATAAATCACCTTGCAGTGAGTTCACATTTATGAATACAAACAAGATTTTAAAAAGGTAGGCATGCATGTCTTCTATGTCTGCACCATCTGCCTTCTCTGAGCCATAATCACCTTTTCTGAGAAGTTGTATCAGACCCACCTGCAGGCTGCCTGTCAGCAGCTGTAGAGCAGGCAGAGAAGCCAGGGCCAAAAAAGCAGTCAGGCATTGCAAAGCCACAGTCAGGCTCTGTTTCACAGGAGAAGAAACTAAGACAGATGGAGGGCAAGTGATTTTCTCAAAGTGATATGAGTAATATCACTGGCAATGCCCAGTCTTGAAACTAATCCTGGCTTAGGCCAGGTTCTGTGAAATGTGCAGTAAACTGGGCAGCAACATCCCTGGGCTTCTTCCTTTTGCCCCAGGGAGACTCGCTGCAGACATCTGTCACAGCTAGCACTGTGAGTGCATCACTGTGTTGGCTCTGATCCAACAGTACTGCTGGGGGACCTTCCCCTGTCTTTCTCCTCAGAGTGTCTGTGGTCAGCAAGTAGTTGATTCTTCACACAGTAAGCACTCTTTCTTAAATTAAAATAATCCTTTCTGGGTTTTAGTCCTGTTCAGCTCAGTCTTCCCATTTTGGGCACATGATGCAGTTGGGTGACAGAATTATTTATAGGTAACACCTGGCAGGAGCAGAGACACTGTCATGTAAAGAGTCAGTAGGCATGAAATAAAGGCTTTGTTGATTGCCGATGCTCCACAAATAGGCTGCACTGAGAGCCAGCACACCTTGTATTTCTCCTCTGCTCCTTGTCCCTTTTGTATCCCCTCCCAATCCATTCCAATCTGCAATTTCCACTTCTTTTCTCCCCATCCTTTGCTCCCTACAATAGCTTCCTCAGGAGAGCATTAAGCTCAGGTGCTCCATGCCCTGGTTGTACCAAAGTTTCAGTAGATCATAGGCAAAAGTTGACCTTTGCTTGCAGTCAGATGTATTGGAGTGTGATGGATCACAACTCTCACCAATCTCTCTAACTGTGAACCGAGGTGCACCAATTTGCCTCCTTCCTAGACCTCAGAGCAACTCTTTTCTGCCCAGTTTCATCTTTTTATTTGTTTCAGTCTAAGCATCTGCAAGACCCTTGTCTCTGACTAAAGCGCTTTCTCCCCATGAGCCCCATTTTGGACTTTGACCTTCCTCCTAGTCCTCTAGCTTGGCCAGGCCCTGAGCTTGAGGAGACTGGTCAGATAGGCAGTCCAGTCTGCACAGAGAGTGAGGGCTGAGAAGGAGAGACACAGTGGAAATCATCCCAAACAATGCTTTTAGCAGCAGTTTAGTTACCCATGATGTGATGTGTAACCACCCTGGACCACATCTAATCTGCCAGTTCTTCTTATCTTTCAGGAAAAATGGTGGGGTGGAAAAGAGCCAAACAGACTAGCTTGTGTTGGGGTTATGAGTTTTGTGACTCATATAGCCCTTTTATGGTTCCCATGGCTATGTCAGGCTAACCCATGACTCATTGCCTTTTCTAGTTATTCAGACTTTGCCTAGCTGTCCATCCTCCTAGGAACCAGCTAGTTTCCTGAAAACTAATGCTCCATGCTAACACTGCCATTTCAACCCAGTATCTTTGACAATCCTAGGACACTTACTTGCTGTTTGGTATGCTTGGGTCCGGCCAAGATAAACTAGGAGACTTTCTCATTCTTCTTTGAACAGCATAACCCTCTTTGCACTGATTAGCTTTTAGGCCAAAGTATGTGAATGCTCTAGGTGATGTACTTCGCTTTTAAAAAGAGGAAGACAGAGAAGAGCCCAAATATACACACAGAAACTACCAAATTATGAAAACCAAAAAGGTTTCTAAAGTTCTCTTTTCAGACAGATGACTTGTAATCAGTGTTACTGGTCTATTGCTCACATCTCCTGAAAAGATATTTAGAAGGAAGAGGGAGTTGCACATTTCTGGAGCTAGATATTGGAAAGGATAAGTAGCTCCATCTCATAGTAACACCAGTCAGTCAGGCGTGTGCTGTGTGTCACTCAGTGGAGGAGTGCCTGCTCTGCTGCACAGCATCTCTGCTGTCACTGACAGCTTCAGACCTGTATTCCTCATTTAACTTCCCGCTGTGACTCTCCTCTGCACCTTCCATCCTCTAGTATCAGACTACTCCCTGCTTCTGGATCATCCTCTTTCTTGACTGTGCTATGGGTTTTGTGCCTCTGTGCCTTTGCAGTTTTACATGCTGACCACTTCCACACTTTTAATCTCCTTTATTTCTTTTCTGCCCTTTTCCTCTCCTGCTGTTTTCAGCATTATAATAGTATTTGGCACTTCTTTGAGAAACATTTTTAAGCCATAATCATGTTTTCTTCAGGTTTTTATAGTTTCAGCCATTTCACAATGCCAATGGGGAAAAGTGAAACTAAGCACACTTGGTGATCAACGCAGAAAATATTCACGTCAAAATCAGAAGCACACTTCAAGGTATCTCAGTCTCATCCATGGCTCTGGCTCCCTTGCAGGGTATTAACACTACACTCTGCTCCATGCCACTTATGGGGTGGCAGTTCCTGCCATCACAGATCAGCCAATGGAATGGGCTGTGCCAGCCCCTCTGTAATCTGCTCCGGAACAAAGTCAGCCAGGAAGCCAGGCTGGTGAGCTTTGGAGAGGTAGGTGGAGTCATTTACAAGATTCCATCACCAGCCCAGTTTTGGGGGTAACAACAAGAAGCTGTCTACATAGGAATATTCCAAATCTTTTCCAGGTGTTTGAAATGAGCCTGAAAGCCACAGATTAGGCAAGAGGGAAGGATGTGATAAAGTGGATAGATGTTTTCTTTGCCCCTTCTAACCTGTATGACACTATTGTCACCTGATGCTTTGCTTTCAGAGCATGAGCAGGCCCTGTATCAGCATCAACACAGAGGTGAGTGTAACTCATCTACCTGGAAATACATACTTTAATTTATTGTGGGGGGCGAGACAGAGGGGAATAAACCAAAACATTTCTCGTATATAAGGAGGGTGGTCTATGTGTCTGTCATGTATTGTTCCTCCTTGAACCAAACTGTTGAATGGCTGTCAGCACACTGAAGTCTTTTATATATAATGGAAGGCCAACCTAAACTTTCCTCCTCTGGTCTGAATAATCTGACTGATCTCACCATTCCTGCTGAACAATGGAAAATTGCCTGAATATTTAAACATGTATTGTTCTTGGGGAAACAAAATGTTCAGCTAGTTTGGTTGCCTTAGCAACATCCACTTCTAAAAATACAAAAGAGACAATCTAGAAAATAAGTGAACATGTAGAACAGGCGAGGAGAGAAAAATACTTCTTTCTCCCTGACCCAAAGCAACTGGGTCATGGGCATGAAATGCTTTCATTTAAAACTCAGTGAAGGATTTAGGGTGTATCTTCACACACTCGTCTAACAAGTTTCATTTTTAATAGTTTAGAATGTGGCTAATATTAAACCTAGGAAAGCCGCTGTGACATCTCTTTTACATTGGCTCCAAACTGGTTTTGTCAATGTCCTTTAGAGTGCTATAGCCCAGAAAGCACAGGTTGCACAAGAAGTAAGCAACAGTTGCTGTATGTGGGGGGGCAAGAGGGCTAAAGCTGTAAAGATTAATTAAGAATGATTAAAGGCCAACCTGAGATACACCTTGTGAAGGCAAGTAGAAGAAACAACAGATGATTCCTTTGTGACATGATGTGGAAGGGACATGTTCATGCTTGGGGAAAGTAACAAGGGGATCATAGGTGTGACCCACATACAACATGAATTAAATGAGTTAACGCTCCCAATTTTCAGTAATTCCGACAAAGGAGAATACGGAGCAAGCACTGTGTGTGTAGAAAAGGAAATGACTGCATGCAGGATGAAACAGAAGCGTAAGCATTTTGATCAGCTCCAGTCACAGGGACCAGAATATCTCAGAATATTGAGATAGCTGGTGTATGAGATGGCAAATCTTACAGGGCGGATTTTTAATTAATCTGTCAAGTTGGTGGTGGCACTGTCTGACTGCAAAATAACAGATGCAGTACTTCTGTTATCTCTAAGAAAAGGAAAAGGGTGTAATCTAGGGAAATGCAGACCCATTCTCCTGACCACCACAGTGCCTACAGCTTCAAAGCCAATCTGTAGGAGAGAATAATAAAAAAACACATAGGCAAATGAACAGTGATGTACAATGCAATAGTAGTTTGTCAAAGGCAGAGCATGCCAGAATAACTCTATATTTTTCTTTAATAAGACAACTATTTTGGATCGGGGAAATGATAGACATCTTATCTGTCCAGACTACAATAAAGTACTTGACAAAGTGACATATTTGTAATTAATAGCTAAAATAGAAGTTATGGAAAAGTTAGAAGGTAGGTAAAGAGCTGGCTGATGGGGAGACAAATGCAGGTTGTACAGAAAGGGAAAGTATCGGTTTGGAAGAATGGAATTCAGTAGCTAACTTTCCTAGTACATTAGCTTTAATATGCAGAAATGTATCAGAATCTGTAACAGCAACACTGTTGTGGCTCAAGAGCTGGAAGTGCCAGAGAAGGACAAAAGCTTGCACTTACTAATACATTACACTGTCACCACAGAGTGACTGTGAGCCCCAACATGTTGTAAAGACAAGTAGTATCCTGCAACATATCCAGACAGAGGAGGAAAAGTCAATAGTAGTATGTAGGACTCAGGAGAAATCTCATCTGAAAAATGGCATGCAATCCTTGTTGCCTACTTCCCAAAAATACGAGATCCAATGGGAACAGTTGAAGAGTGAGCACATGATAGCAGGACCAGGGAGATTCCAAGCCTATGTGGAGAAACTAAGAGAGACTGGCTTTTAGAGTCAGCAAAATGAAGGATGAGAGAGCCTGGATTTCCTCTCTATAAATGTATCTGAGTGTAAAAATCAGAAGAGGAAGTTATTAAAGCTGAAGGACATCCCAAGGACAACTGGCTATAAAATGACCATAAAGGAATTTACCCTAGAAATTAAAAGAAAGCTTCTAGCCATCTGAGCAATTAGGTTCAGGAACAGTCTCTAATGGGAGAGGCAAGGAAAGAGGCCAGATGCTTTAAAAAGATTTCACTCAAATGAAAGACATTTCGTTCTGTGGCTTCCTGTGATAGCATGCAGTGACTGAAAGGTTTCCAGGGCTCTATTTGCCTAATCACAAATCAGTTTGATTTGACAGCATCCATATCCAAGAGGTCTCCACTTTATCTAAATTAAAGTCTATGCTTTCAGCCACACCAGTACAACTCAAGGTTCAAAACAATGATTCACTGGAAAACACTTAGTAGGAAGAGAATGACAGCAGGGAAATGAAAATACTATTTCAGCAGAAAGCCCTTATCCTTCCCTGGTACTGAGGGATGTGAGATAACACCACATTTGCAAATTGGGAATACAGCCCTGCAACGCTGATGCCAACAGATGAGCCAAAAGAGCTTCCTAAAAGTATAGCAATTGCATACACTGTGTATAGATTCATCATGAGACAAGCAGAAACATATTCAACGCCTTTCCTGTCTCTTTCTGTTTGCTTTCTTCCATGAACTCTGACTTTTCTGAGACTGTTGAAAGCCTTCTTTTTTATCTGGATGTTGTTCAGACTGGTTTTTTCACTTACAAGGTGGTTGCCATTTCGTATTTATAATCCCCAGGACATTTTGTAACAGTTTCTCTCACAGAAACTTTTTACAGAAGAGAAATTGGTGTTCAAACTGATGTGATGAGTTGCCTAAAGTTGTTTGTGAAGTCTGTAGTAGAACAAACTGTCTACCAAATCCCTACTCCCTGTGTAACCCTAAAACCAGCGTCTCTGCTAGCTTTCTTCTGTGTTTCATTTTCCCCTTCCATTTTAGTCTGCTTCTGTCAAGCTCCTGCATGTCCTCTTCACTCTCTTCTTCTTGCCAGCTGAAGAACATGGCTCAGATGCCCTGCTGCAGCCTCTGCCCTCTGATTTCTCATGATTTTCCATTTGCTCCATCCATCACTCTCAAAGCTGTCACAGTTGTAGATCACCACAGCAACAGCGCAGGCATGGCTAGGAGGAACATAGAAGAAATGAGTTATTATGACTCCATCTGAGGCAATATACATGTAAAAATGGGAAGAGGGCTTTGGAAGAGCGCTGGGCAGGCTTTTTTGATTTATGCAGCGGATAGAAGCTGGTATGATACACTTGCAAGGTCTTGTTCATCTAGGGTAAAACTCATGCAATTAGTTCCCACCTTGTGGTCCTTTCAGCAGTTGGCTTTTGCTTTATGTTTTTTCTGCAGCATGACAACCTCTATCTCCCCTTTGCCACCCTTGCATGCCAGGCACAGCTGGTGAGTGTAATCTGTGGTCCAGTGAAGACTATCTGGAGAAACAGGAGTGCCACAGAGCAGGACACAAACCTCTCATGCTGTCAAGTGAGCCAGTGGGCCACAGGCAACTCCACTAAGAGTTGTCAGAGAAGAAAGCAGTCTTCAGAATCGAAATTTATGTGCAGTGTGGAAAGCATCCATCAATGCTGCTGCAGGCCTTCCGGTGAGCAGGCCTGTGGAAACCTGGTGGTTTGGGTATGGAGATTTTCGCTGAACTATGAGAACTTTTATATGTTTAGGTTGTGATGAGAATGAAGATCTTTCTCATAATATGTGTGTCTTTCCAAGTAGGGAGTCTCAAAAACAACTATGATATTGTGAAAATGATATCTGACTGTACAGATAGCTACAGAGATTCTTGCCTTTCACAATCTTCCTGTCACTGTCCCATTTATATGGATATAACTTTTGGTATAATTGCAGCAATTGCTTGCAATTAAAATTATTTAGTTACATATAAACCTTTTCAGTGCTGTTAAGTATTTTGAGAAATTATTAATCTTAATGAACCAGAGCTTCAAATGAATCAAGTTAATATTTGCCTCAGAAAAGTGTGAGGGCAAGGTGACATGAGCTAACATTTTACCCAGCTAACTCTTATCCTGCAAAAAGATTAAAACATATCCAAGGATAATGTTATTAAAAGGAGTTTAGGGTTTGTGCCACCTGGGCCACTGGTATACGTCCCTTAGAGACTGCTATGGTGGCCAGAGACTTAGATGTGCTCTATCCTACCTGTTTCTAAATAACAAGAGAAACAAGAGACATAAAGCTGGGTCTTTCATGTCAGTGCTTATGAACTTGCTGTCAGGGACGACAGGTGCTTGGTAAGACATTAAAGGTTTTCTACAAAGTACTGTAAAAATACACACCTAAAGAAAATACACACCTACATTCCTGCTTGCAAGCAACAACAAAAATGAGAGGGAGGAAAAAAAGCTATTTAACTCATATAAACAGGAGGAAAAAATAAAGGTATATGCAATTTTTTTGTGTAATGTTTAGTTGACTGTAAAGGAAAAACAGTGAGCTGTATCTTTTTCTTTTTTTTTTTTTTTAATAGAGACTGGATGGCTAAGAAACACTGCTGCACTCTGCCTCAGTACAATCCTTTTGATCAGCTTTCTGCCTGCTTTGAACCACAGACTCTCTGACAAGACTCAGGCCACAGTTCTGTCCCACTCTGCCCCTCTTCCCCCCATCGTCTCTTCCAACTAAGGAGCTTACATGCTGCTGAAGACTTCAGGGCTCAGATCTCGCTATCTCCACTACTGCACTTCAGTCTTGCCCCCTGGAGAGTTATCACTTTTGTTATTGCCAAGATAATTAAAGGGAAGCCAACTTCATATATCAGCTGGTCCTTTGCAAAGCTTCATGCATGGCTTTTCGCTTGTTCAGGGAGATTCCTCTTCCCCATTAGCTGAATGACTGATGTGAGTTCGTTCCCTTTTCTCTGAGGCATCACATCGTGATAACAGCATGAGATTATAACCCTGTGGTCCAGTGGTCAAAACCAATGTTCCTGTGATGTGATCTTCTCTTGCCTGCACGTGTATTCCTGCTTGGCCTCTGTTGTCAGGCTGTCTAACTGTCACATCCCCTTCTCTGTCAGTGATTTTCAGCTGCTTGTTTCCTGCTACCCCTTCTTTGACCCATGATTAAAGTATCTGTGGGAGTTACTGGCTCTGGGGCTGTCATTACAGGCTTTAATAAGTATGTGGTGATGTGGCAATGCACCACCTTGCAGTATGGGGATACAGCATAAGAAACAGGCAGGGAAAAAGTGGTGAACTAAACTCCAGCAAAGGTTATGTCTGCTCAGGGACATGGTGGCAGGCAGCAACATCTGTGTGTGTTTGTAATTTTATATGGCTCCTCTGTGGTGGTCTCCTACACTGCATTCCACCAGGTGGGAGAATCTGCAAGGGTAAAAGTCAATCTCAGAGGCAAGACTCTAGAATTTCTCTCTTTCAATTATGAAACCTACCCAGCTGTCACCAGCTTTTTTGCTTGTAGCTTTGGTTGCAACTGATCTGTTCCTAAAACTAGGGGCAGATGTGACTAAGACAATAATAATGTCTTTACTCCTCTTCCCTCTGTAAGAAGGAAAAATGGTCTCAGCTTGGAGGTGGGGATCCAACTGGACAAGGTGAGGAGCAGAGTGAGGGTCCCTGTTGAAGAAAGTCTGTCTTGCTCTGTGGATACTTCTGGTCTCGCACTTTTAGAAAATGTCCTGACCCCAGGAATATCTCTGCAGATAGACACTAATTAGACTCTTAATATCCTTTAGCCTGGAAAAGACTTTTGGGATCATCAAGACCAACCATTAACCTAACACTGCCAAGTTTAACACTAAATCATGTCCCTAAGCGCTACATCTACATGTCTTTTAAACACCTTCAGGGATGGTGACTCAAACACTTCCCTGGTAAGCCTGTTCCAATACTTGACAACCCTTTTCTTGAAGAGATTTTTCCTAATATCCAATCTAAACCTCCCCAGGCACAGCATGAGGCTATTTCCTCTTGTCCTATCGCTTGTTACTTTGGAGAAGAGGCAAACTCCCACCTCACTACAGCCTCTTTTCAGATAGTTTTAGAGAGTGATATGGTCTCCCCTGAGTCTCCTTTTCTCCAGGCTAAACCACTCCAGCTCCATCAGCCATTCCTCATAGGACTTGTGTTCCAGACCATTCACCAGCTTCTTTGCCCTTCTCTGGACATCCTCCAGCACCTCAATGTTCTTCTTGAAGTGAAGAGCCCAAAACTGAACACAGGATTCGAGGTGCAGTCTCACCAGTGCTGATGACAGGGGGATGATTCCTGCTCTAGTCCTGCTGGCCACATTATTTCTGATAGAACTTCCCCAGGTTTTCAAAGGTTTTGAAGATGGAGTGTATGATATGAGTACAAGTTTGTGCTTTCTAGCCAGCAGTTTTTCTCATGAACAGGTCAAGTTTGTGCTTTCTAGCCAGCAGTTTTTCTCATGAACAGGTCTAGATGGCATACAAGTACACAGCAGTACCATACATGCACCATACTGCGACTACGAGCAAAAACAGTTCCTGCAGGCTTGCAAGCACAGCATATCTCCCCAGCCAAACCCAGAGTCCAGTGAAGCCTTTCTCTCTCTTGGATTTCAATAAAGCCAGAATTTTGCCCCCACATCAACTTCCATCAGAATAATCTTTTTTAATCCTCCACACTGCTCTTTAGCCACCGTGCATCCCAAACCATCTATCTGACCAGTTCCTTCCTCCCATTTAAATTGCTGTCCGTCTTCTGCAAAGAATCACTTAACTACAGCTTTTTCATTCTGTGATTATTTTAGGTATCCATAACACCTTTTGTAAGCTGTCTGGCTATGTCATACCAGCCTAGACCATGTCTCTGTGTTTATTGCAATTCCACTCCCAGATTGTGTCCCAATGATTTTCTTTCCTCTCCATTTCCCCTGTGGTAAGATTCCGGGTTTCTGAGGGTAACCTATCTAGAGGAACTCCAACCAGCAGGATTGGGTTTACCAGAAAGCTTGGACTCACATCTGCCTCTCAAGGGGGAGTGCCCCCACTATTCCTTGATGCCCCAGCTGATGTCTATGGGAATGACCATGCGTGCCCACAGAAGCATCCCACAGTGTCATCCCACGCAACCTTTTGCCTTCTTTCCAGAAAATCTGGCTGGATCACAGCCCTGCAGTGGGCACCAAGAAAAGCTGCCCTGAAGGTTGCCTTTAAAGCTGTGAACTGATGATGTTGTCAGCACATAGCGTTCATTCCCAAGTCATGAAGTTTATTCTGGGACCACTTGAGAGTTTCAAAGCTCTCCCCTTGCCAGGAAAATATCTGTGCTGTTGAGCTCTCCTTCAGATTCTCTCCACATGCCATAAAGGAAATGTTCAGAAACCTAATCTGAGGGGGATCGGGCTGTGAGTTCTCCTTGTCTGCGTCAACTTCATGAGGCACGAAATCTGAGGGTGCTGTAGGAATCAGGTAGCCTTTGTAATGCACACCAGCTGTGTCATGTGCCTCCAGCAGGGAGGCAAGCTCTCATGTGTTCCTATTGCTTCAGACTTCACTCTTGCTGGTACCCTGCTCACTTAGAAGGACCCTATCACCTATAGACTGCTGCTAAGTGAGCAAATAGGAATGACATGTTCTTCCCTTGGCGTAAGAATGAGAGATGAAGGATGGTCTTGTGACTGAGACATTGAGCTGTGACTCAGGAAAAATAAAAGTTTCTGTTCTCATCTCTGTTGCTCAATTCTTGTGTGACCTTGACAAGTCACAGTTACTGTCTCAGTTCCTGTCTTTGATCTGGGGAAGGTAACGCTTTCTTGTTCCTTTGTCTACCCTGCGTCAGTGCTTCACTTTTTATACCACAGACTGCCCTCCACAGTATCTTCGTGTGTCATCTAATACAGCTAGTTAGCCTTTAATTCTAGGTGAGCCTTTAGGTGCTATTATGATATCCCTAAGCAGGAACAGGAGTGGAGCCTAGTGTATGTGTGGGCCATGCACTGATCCTGACAGCTGCTTGCTGGTCCTGTTCTCTTGGTGCATTTTGACTCAGCAGAGGCTATCACAGTCCCTTGAGCATGAACCCCTTGGTCTGAGCTACAAATAACTACCACAGCCTCAAATAGATAAACACCAGGTGCTAAACATTCACTGTCAGATGCTGCATTGTAAGTGAAGACAGATAGTTAACCTACTTTGTGTACCTCATCCAGGATGTCAAGATGTGCTCTCAGTTCTGCTGACACAGATCTGAGGAGATAAGCTAAATCAAGCTACATAACCCTCATGACAGAGGACTTATGTGCCATCATTTGGAAGGCCACAGAAGTGCCAAATGCCTGACAGTATTTGGAAAGGAGATGACGGTAGCAAAGCAATGTCTATTTTGGAAATTATGTATAAAATTCCTATAATTGTATGGGGGGGAGGCTAAAAAAAGGAAGCCACTCCTGCAAGACAGACAGCACACAGAAATCAGGTAGGAGATGAAGGGAAAATATGTGCCTGTGCAGAAGAGAGACATTTCTTCAGTAGGACATACCTATTGGTAGGCTCTTTTTGGGCCATGTGATCCCAAGTTAAATCAGCTATTGAGAGTGACTTATGTTGTCAGAAATCAACAGGAAGGTAAAGCCCTGTATAAATGAGTACCAGAAAAAAAAATAGTTTAAGGATGTGATTCTGTAAGATCTTGTTTCAGGATCAAAAGCTGGGTCAACTCTTCTACATCCTGAACAGAACAAGAGTTATGGGATGGAATAAGGTGAACTGGGAAGGGAAAACTGAAGGGAGAACAATAGAGAAAGATCTAGTGAAGAAAATGAATAGAAATAAGGAATAGGGATGAGAAGGTTTGAGACAATGGGGTGAAAGAATGAAGTAAGTGAGTTAGTTAGGGAAAGGAAAAGATAAAAAAAACTGAGAGGAGCTGAAAAGACAGATTTTTAGTGGCCTCTGGTGATGCTTTTGTTGAACCGGCTGTACCTTGGAGCATGCCCTGAAAGACGTATCTGTGGCCCACCTGGTAGGCCTTGGAGAGGAATATCTTATATATTCCTCTTACCTTTTGATCTAGATGGGGAGGAGGATATTACTAAGGCTCAGTTTTTTCTTTAGGATCCCTGACCACCAGAGCAAGCTAAAACCAAACTCTTTTCCCAAACATGTTTATAAAGAGTAACATTTTTTCAATGCTCTGAATTCCTTAAACTCCTGTCTCTGATTTGAATAATCCCTACAAAACTATGTGACTTCAGGTATATCTAACAGCAAAGGCAGATTTAGGGAATGAAACAGCTTTACAGAGAACAGCTTTACAGGCTCTTCCTGTTGTTTTTATAGGCCAGTTTGAAACTCACTGCTGGTTTAGATCTAGTATGACATTATCTTTGTTTCAGTTTTCTCCTAGGCCAGCCAGCTGCTGATTCTTCCAACTCAGAATATGCTCCGTGTGTGTGTGATTCCTCAAGAGCTGTGGCAATTATCTTCAGATTTCCTTAATTTAATGCGAGTTTCTCAGTAATTAGAGGTCCTATGTCAGAGTTATGGGCTTAACCAAAGGTCGACTTTCCTTTTATTGAGTTAGTGTATGCTTTCCTGATGGCTTCTGAGAAGAGCTTTAAAATGTGGAAGTTAGAGATTTGAAAGCCAGGGGGGTAAAATTTAAATAATTCCATCTTTTGGAAAAATAGTTTTACATGAATACTATCCTTACTAGTTGCCTAATTTGTGATTTTTAAAAAAAGATTGTGTTTTTCAGAGATTCGGAAAAGGGAAAATGAGATGGTAGCCAGTGTATTTGTGTAATAAAATTTCTGCAGGATTTTAAGATAGTTGAGGCAAGAAATGTGCAATACAAATTCTCAGGTTGATTTATTTCAGTGTATTTTCTTCCCAAAAGCTTTTCACTTTGAAACAGAGTGGCCAAAACCAGTGAAAAACTTCACAAAAGTAACTCGCTAATGACAGTGAAGATGAGGGCTTCTTAGCATCAGGCAATCTGCATAGATAAAAGTTCTTCTGTTTCCTGAATGAATCACAATGGGATTGCACATGTACCCTGGCTTTTCCATCAGCACACCTCCAGCTTTTAAAGAAGCCTTAAAATGTGGTAGTATGCTGTGACAATGTGTCAGAAATTGTGCTGCCCAGTCCCAGGAGTCACCTTTGCCTCTGATTCCAGCAGAGGCCCCTGGTAACGTGCAGCAACATTGCTTCACACATACAGGTGTTTTGCTTGACCTTCCAGGCAAGCAGCAATGTCCAACTCAAGTTAATCTTTGGCTGCTGTAGCAAAACCTTAAAATAGTTCATGCCTAAATTAGCAACTTCTATTTACTGTTGCTTTTACTACAACACAATTCATTAATAACCCATAAGAGCCCTCACTATGAAAGCACCCCACTGGCTGTTACAAGCTACACCACAGATTATAGAAATACAATTGCAGAACAATAACCATGCACATAGCTTCAGTCCTGGCTCTATCCACCATGCCTGACATATCCAACCTGTAAATCTAGACAGCATCTAGGAACTTCCATGGTCTCAGTCCCCCCGAGCCCCCAGGAGCAGCCAACCAGTGTCTTCTCACCTGCCTGCAACCTGCCAGCAGCCCAGGGCCATTGTCCTGTCGATGCTACAGTGAGCCCTCGGACAGGAGTGAAGTGCTGTCGGCCAGGGGGTTGCTCGGTAGTGGAGGCATGGAGCTAGGGCATAGCACTTGGCCCAGCAGAGTCTTTCTTATTTTTGCTAACACAGTCTTAGCTGCCCTTGACACAAGGGCAAGTTGACTGCTGTGTTACTATTTCTCCTGCGTGTAGGTTCTCAAAGGCTCCTCTTCCGCTTCCATCTGGTTCCGGATAGAAACATACCAGCCTCTGAACGCAAGGCTGATGAAACCTGGTCCTTCCTTGCAGCATGAAGTGTATGGTAATATAATCAATAGAAGGGACTGCCCAGAATAGCAGGGGTGCAAAAATAGTATGTCCTCTGCGTATGCTTTCCCTGTGGCCCTCTCCTGTTCCACAATATAGTCAAGGCAGTGGTCTCTCTTGTTTCATTGCTTGTGCCTAGATCACTGTAGATGGTCAGGCACCATGTCAAATACTCCCCATCTGCCAAGAACCCAGAGTCTGTGGCTCCTGTGCAGTCTGCAAAACTAGAAGTTAAACCCACTGGGCAACAAAAATAGATGCAGTTGCTCAGCTAGAAGACTAGACCCACTACCAAGGAAGAAATGAAAGATTACTGAAATTAAAAGCATTTATCCTAAAAGCCCATTGGACACAATTCCCCAGGTTATTTGGCACCACGTGCAGTCTCCATCACAACAGCACCTACACAAGCTGTAATTAGGACCATGTGGTCACACTGGTGGCTTCTTTCCACACCTCACAGGCTGCAGTGCAGTAATAACAACATCTCTTGCATTTCATGTTTTCTGCAGCCTTAGGATCACCAGCAGAAAACAAAATGGTATAAAGAGGCTCTTTCACTGAGACAAAGCTGATTTATGGCCTAAAGGTAATATGAGGACAGATCTAAATAATAATTTTGATATGTGCTTGACTCAAGCCCTGCAGCCATATACACTACTTCCCTGCTGGTGCTAATCTGGGCCCATTCTGGCATTTTTCTGGCTCCTCTTGATGTACTTGAGGGCTGCCACCACAGAGAGTATAGGAGTGTCCTGAAAAAAGAGGGAAGAGTGCATCTATTCAAGCCCAGACAGAAGGACACAGAAACAACACTCGACGAGAATACAGAAGTCTCAGTAAAGAGAGAGAAAGCATAAAGAAATTAGCAGTTTTATGGTATAGGGCTGAAGTTCTTGGAGCCAAGGATTTATGATGTCTCACCAATTATGAGAAGGACGAACTTTTTATCTCATTTAATTGTTTCTAAATACATGGTATATTATGACAAGACTCTCTTGGCAGTGGATTTGTATGAATAATGTGGCTGTACTCTACCCAAGTAAATTATATTTTGTTCTTAAACATTCCCAAATGGTGTTTGTGCAATTCTGGAGTCTCAAAATGCTACCTGCCTGGCACAAGTTTGGATGCGGTAATCAAAAGGAAGTGATTCACGCTGGAAGACAGGAAACCCTCTTCAGGACTGCAAGAATGTGGAGATTCCAGGGCTGAAGAAACTTCACCCACTGTGGGTCTGTAGCTGCTTCTTGGTTGACAGCAGCTGTTAGATATTGCATGACATCATGACAGACCAAATTGCTTCAGGAAAAAGAAAACTGTCAAGCAGATGCTGCTAGGACATTCATGGTGGGAGGAAGTACTAGGAATTTTTATTTAGGTACATCATTTCCAATAGTGACACTCCAGAAAAGGCATCTTTAAAGAGTTGGTCTGTTGTTGCTTTTACGGCGCATCGAAAGCATCTTCGGAAGTGTAAGACTGCAGGATACCATGTGAGAGCATTGGATCAACCTTTGAGCAGGGTTTTCTTCAAGGTCTCCCATCCAAATACTAACAAGTGAAACTCAATAAGAATGAACAAGCAAGACCACAGAAAAGTGGAATAAATAAGTAAGTATTATTTCAAGTCAGTGAGATAATAACTAAATGAAACGTGCCTAGCTCTTTATTTCTAAAAACTTAGTCAGAGAAACCAGCTACCAGGCAGCAAACACCTCATAAGCTGAGTATCTCTAGAAAGGGAAACACAATATAAAAGTGGTTTGTAACTAATTAAACTGGAATTTTTTATTTTTTATTTTCAATTTAAGGTTCTTTCACTGCTAACAGGAAAAACAGAGAGGATGCTGTGGCAACTTGAAGCTTCTGGTGTGACTAAGGTAATTAAAGCGGCCCATATGGATTTCAGACCACCCACCTACCCACCCCAGCCCTTAGTCAAGTCAAAACAAAGCATTACATTTTTGAAGAGTTGCAGCTATGGAAAAAATACAGGTCTCTAAAAGGCTTGTTATTAGACACTGCCAAGATAGTTTTGTGATGATCATTTCTGTTAATTTGGCAGCATAAATATCAGAGTTTTTATTATAGTGCATAATGTGAGGTGGAGACTCTTTGGCAGGTATTCCTCTTCAGGGCTTGTCTCTCAGGCGTAGGAGATGCAGGTGGCAGGGCATGGTGGCATCTTCTCAGAGTTGCCAGTTTTCACACACTCATCTCAGTGAGCCAGATTGTCCTCTCTACAATGTGATAAACTGGGAATAATCCCATAGAAATCACTGGTATAGAGCCAGCGTGAGGTCATCACTAGGAATGTGAGGTCACAGGCAACTTTTCCATATAGAGTAGCAACAGACAGTCTGTTCCCAGACAGCTGAGTTTCTATGGGTATACAAAAGAATCTGTGGCCTCTGGCCAGGACTACTGCTCCTGCACGTTACAGATGGTCCACTGTGAAATTTTTTAACCTGAGTGATCTAAGAACCTAATTGCCATCTACATGCAAGATTGGACTCCTAAGAAATTTGTGCCATGACTACAGTTAGGAGATCTACAGCTGCTAGATTTCTTGCTTTGGAAGCAGTGCTTTTATCATATCCCCAAAGATGGTACTTTCCCCAAATGTGGCTTGTTGGCTGAAGTGCCCGGTGAGGGTCAGCCAGTGCTGTCCTTGGAGCCTGATGCAGGCCGTGTGGGACATCTTTCCAGAGCATTCCTGGAGGCTGTTGCAATACTCAGTAGTGGGATTGTTGTGCCAAATTCTCCTGGTGTTATCTTCCACAGGCCTTCTTTCAGTATAACAGCACCTGTGGTTTTCTGCCCCTGAAGGTCTTGAGGTACCGGTACACCTCTGTCCTCACACTTCTATTTGGGCACATCATCCTTTTACCTTCTACTCTTATGGGATTCCTCTTTCATTAGCCAGAAACTTTTGAATAGGATGAGCTCTAAGACACAATCTACATCACACTGGGTTTGGGTTTTTTTTCAGGTCCAGGTATGACAAAACTACATGAGGAGTTGAGCATTTCAAGGATACACTGTTAGGAGTGATTAGTTTAAAAAAAAAAGAAAAGAAAAGAAAAGAAAAAAGAGACAATAGAAATGTTAGGTTCATACCAGGAATCAAGAAAAGTTATTGTTTTTTATTTCTAAATATTTTCTGTAATCATCTGGGGGAGATGCATGGAGGTGTTTTCCTGTCTTTGGAATTGCTCAGCTTCACATTATCCTTGTTGTCCTAGCTGTCACCTTGCAGCAATAAAGTAGGGAAGATTGATAAGGTAAGTCCCAGCTGAAAAGCCAAGGAATGTGGCAGGAAGTGTTGCTCTGGCTGCTGTGGAGTAAGGTGGCTGTGGCTCACTCATCTCTCCTGGGGCTAACAAAGAGCTGGCGGGAACAGATGCCTTCAAGCTCATCCCAAGTCGTTTACTGCCCACCTGCTTTCAGCATTTGTCCCAGCCAAGCTCATCCTTGAGGCTGTGAAAAGGAGTCCTCAGCAGATGGAGGCAATAGTAGTGCCATTTCTAGGGCCGGGGTTAAAGGATCAGAGCACATGGGAGCAGTTTTGAGCTATTGGGACTGGATTTGCTGTCTACCTGTTCCAAAATAATTTATAGCACTGAAAATCAGTGTAATTCTCTCCCTGCTAAGAAGAAAGTTTAGCATCCTCCACAGACAGTCATGTCTTCGAAACCTGATGCAGTGCATTCCAGCTTCTCATGACAGAGAAAACACAAGCCCATTCAAGGATCACTGAAGGACACAATTTTAGATTTTTCTGCTAAGAAGTGTTATTAAGAGTGGAGTTTTTTAATTCCATAATTTCACTTGTACATACACACTCAGAGATGAATATTAAGACATAGATAATGACTCAGAAATGTCAGACAGAGCAGAGCAAAGTCTACAGTGCAAGAGTAGAGGGAGAGAATAGCTGCAGCAAGTACAGCTCAAAGTCAGCTTTGTGGAAGAGAAGCAAAAGGGCTGTAGGCTTTGAAAGCCAGTGGCTCCTGGGTGTAACTTGTACCTGCTTTTATGAAGCAGTACTGTAGGGAAGAATCCTGCACATTGTGACAATATTTCATGACAGCGAGTTTTGGGAAGCTCTCCAATACTGTGACAAGCCAAATCTCAAGAACTGTGATAGATGAATCTCCAAGTGTTGGAAATTATGTGGTTTGTCTACACAAAGAATTTGCAGTGGCTTTAAATATCCTGATGGAGTTAAAGCTCTGTGATCTTTCCTTTACTGTGAATGAACATTATATTTGTATAAAGGTGTATGATGCCAATACAACCATTTCAGTATGTGGGGGGAGAAAAAAAAAGAGACAGAACACACTTCCAACTGAAATAGTTGTGCCTGTAGAAGAAAAAAAATGGCTTAGAACTACTTAAGCAGAATATGTTGATGATACCAACTAGCTCCAAAAAGCTGCATTATATTCATTGGGAGATGAAGTTTATATCTTAGATTAAGGCTATATTTGAGACTGGAGTAAACTGATCATGTCCTTTCTACTGGCTTCTGCCACACCTGCTAGCTCTAAGGGGCTGCAGGAAACTGGCCTGAAAAAGGGATCATTTTTTACTTTTGCTATCCCCTCAGCAGATATGGCTGTGGAATTCTTTATTGGCAACTATATGTATAATAGTTTTGGTAATTCACATGAGAGTGGATTTCTGGTTAAAAGTTAACCAGATAAACTTAACATTTTTCCTCAAGTTCCCTGGCTTCTCATACAGACATGAATCATTCTGGATTTTCTCAGTTTTCTCAATTTTTGTTAGGATAGATGGGTTGACTACATAGAGGTATATACCTTTCTGTGCATACATACCTGGACTTGGGCTCCACTTCAGTGGAGTATAAGTTGATAGTGGAGTAGCAGCACATTC